TAACAAGGTTGAAACGATAGTCTTGGGTTGCTGTATCTCTTGTGCAGAGAGAGATGACCTGTATTTTGGATCTGTTCTGCCCTTTTGGGTGGAATCAGTCTGAGATTCATGGCCTGGTTCTCTCTGTAATGGCACAAGATGAGCTAAAACCAGCTTGAGAACTGAGCGGGGACTCACCGAAGGCCAGGCTAATTAAGCTGTTGTCCATTCTCAGTACAGTCTTGTAACTTGTTTTTTGCATGGCAGCCCTGTCCAATTTTGTTCTAAGGAGTCACATTAATGGGGACACCAGATACAAGACACCATCAAATGCAGTGCAAGCGTATCATTAAATAAACAGATAAAATTTGTTCCTTCTAAAACCTTTTTTATTGGACTAACAGAATTTTGTAAAAATTCTGTTAGTCCAATAAAAAAAGGTATTACAAGATACACATTTTATCTGTTTACATCTGCATCACTGGACTACTACGGCTACAATCTCTATTTTAACACTGATTAAATAAATGAACACCAGGCATTTTCCCAATCTGAAAGCACTTCAGCAGGGTTCTGCATGTGGGATACCAGGGGGTTGGGGTAGGGGGGTTGAAATCTTGAGTGAGTTCTCACACTTTTTTACTAAGGACTTGACCCTTGGCCATAATATCCTTCTTTAGAACAGGTGCCCAAAATTGTACAGCATATTCAAGATGTGGTTTTACCAGTGATTTATAAAGAGGCAAAATTATATTCTCATCCTAAGAATTAATGCATAACAAGTTGCTCGCCTTAGCCACTGATTGACATTGCACATTGTTGCATAGTTTGTTGTCTATAACAATTCCCAAGTCCTTTTCGTGTGTTATCCCACATTCGCTTCCATTAAGGGAATACGTTGTGTGGCAGAAATGCCTCTGCCACGTGTTCTTGGAGGGGCCTGCTTGCCAGCCTTCTCCCAAAAGACTATGGGCTTTAAAAACTTATGTGATTTATGTACTTCTGTCAGTCAAAATTATGACTTCCATGGAAACCCAGAACCAGTTTTTTCAGATATTAAGATTGATCTATCTCAGAAGAAAGCAAACTACTTAATCTACATTCTACAAAAGCCAGAGCCTGCTATATGAGGCTCAGATACATGTGAGTGGTTCCATAAAAAGCTACATTCATGATTTTAAAGTGTTAGTGTTGCACTATGAATTTTATTTTATTTACACAGATATATACATAATCAACTTTGAGTAGGAGCCATTCATTGTTATATATTGCAAATTCTGCACACTCCTATTGTATTGTGAATTTTTCACACTCTAGTGTTCTATTCTATAGTATTGTGCCCCAGTAGGTGATCGGTGGCACAGGGGATTGTTACATGTTCATATAAGCACCAAGTTGCACCTTACTTGTTTTTCTTTTACAATTTTTGTGCACTTTATTGTATCATCACCTGGGGGTGCGGGCTCATGTTTAACATGGCAATTTTTTACCGACCGTATGTTGAGGCTAAATTTGACCAGGATATAATTGATGTAGAAGTGGAAAAACCTATAATTAGTGACAATCTTGATTATGTGTGTCTTCAGTTGGAGAGATTATTAAAGAAAGAACTAAAAATCAAATGGGAGATTTTTACATTAGAAAAATATTTGAAGGAAGAGGCTTTGGTTTACCATATACCCCATCTTTGATCAGGGTGAAAAATCTTTTATGGTTATCTGGGAAAAGGCACAAGGAACAAAGGTCATTTGATAACCCCTTTTTATCTCAAAAGGAGAAACCGAGATTACGAGGAAGGGTAAGTAGAGGAGCAAAGAGAAGGGACATCACAAAGAGAAAAAGAGGAAAACATTTTTTATTTGACTAATAAAATTTTAAAACCAGAACATAATGTTTTAAATAAAAGGTTTGCTCTGATCTGCTCTGTAAATAAGTTTGGCACTTATATAGACATTAATCAATACGTACGCAAACTCTATCTTAAGAAATATTTTTTCAAAAATGTGACAGATCACCCTGTCCCCGGATTATAAAAACCCTCTCTCCATTCCCCGGTTGTTCAGTAGATTGCATTCACCTTCAATTTTACTATTGCCCTGACAGAGATACAAACGTAAACTCTGTCTTAAGAAATATTTTTTCAAAAATATGACAGACCACTCTGTCCCTGGATTATAAAAACCCTCTCTCCATTCCCCTGTTTGTTCGGTAGATTGCATTCACCTTTAAATTTTACTATTGCCCTGTTCAAATACCAAACAAACTACCAAATGACCAGACCACCTGTATGGAGAGTTTTCTGCTTGTTAACCTCTGTCAGCACATCATT